TTTGCTCGTGTGTCATCTCGTCATGGTGCATTTACTTCTATTGCCACAATCCCTTTCTGCCCTCTTGTGAGTGTGAGTTGATCACACGTGTTCTGCATCATCTATACCTATGCGCACAGACTGTATCGCAGAGCAGAAGAAGAGTTCATGCCATGTATACATACGTTGAATACTTCACTTGCCTGTAAAGATTCATGTGATATCTGTCAGAGTTAGTCTGAAAACAATGCCGCAGGGGCTCTGTGCACTTATGACAAAACAGATGGCTGATAATTCGTAAGGCAGCGGTATGGTTGATAGATAGTACATAAGCTGACAATCTGAGCCCTCTTTGCTGCACTAGCTTCTTTGCTCTGCCACTAGACCCGCCAGTGTCTTGAGTGAGCCGATTTGTGTAATGCAGTGATCCGATCATCAGAGATTTCATCTACAGTGATGCATGTGAACCACTCATTCGAAGTTGTCCTCCGTTCCATAGTAGTGGCTGCATGGCTCTATACAAACATAAATTTCTTTGATGCACTGACAAGATTTAGGTGTAACAACCAGGTGGGCCTGCTTTGTGGTCCATGACAAAAGTAACATATTGAACTGGATCCTGTGACTCCTCCGCATTACATCCAATTTGGTCGTACCAGTACAGCAGAGAACAATGGGTCACAGGCCCGCCAGTGGTGCAATTACGAAGTTCAGGTACATGTATGGGCAGCTACGCTAGCTATCAAACGCCATAAGTCGGAGGAGTACGAGTGCAAAAAAGCGACATGGCTGTCACGAATGTGCGCACATGAAAGAACATAAGTCCAACGATACCATTGAACGTGCCCGACTTGTGAGCCTAATCCTGAGGCAAAGTCGAGCCACCTGCAGACGAAGTGCCATACAAACTGGGGCTACATTGATAACTGGCCTACCAGTAGCAATGTGATTCAACTGCTTTTTGTCGAGCCTGTTCCCTTTTGCTGCCTGCTCGATCTCCATATTCATACCCTTTCTCTTTTTGTCGGTATGTTCCCTAAAACTACCTGAAACTTGGACGTTGAGTGTGTGCTGCATGCTCTCTATGAGGTCCAGTATTTGAAATTGCCAGTTTGATACCATGCCCATTGTTTGTCGGGCGAAAGCCGCCACAGACTGGCAAGGGGTTCAGTTTGTCCACAATGGCGAAGCTCAAGTTATCCATCGTAAGAATACACCACACGTGCATTGGACCAGGTGAGAAGTGAGCCAGGAACATTGGGCACCAATAAATTTCGCACATACCCGGGGATGCAGCACTTATATTATTTAGCTCCTTGTACCTGTGCCAGTACTTGCCAATTGCACAAACATTGCTTGTAAGTTGAGAGGTTAGCACATGTTTTGAGATAAGCTCAACTCTATTGAAAGAGATAGAATGCAGTGGGAGATACCTCAACAGTGATCTTCCATGCGTCTCTGGCTGCCTGTCAAGAAATACTGTGTTGGATACAGTACTTATGTCTCCAAGCCGTGTGCCATCTTGACCTTTGATGGCAACCAGTTCAAAATAGTTGGAGCTAGCATTCCACTGAGACATGCTAGATGGAATTTGACCTGCAAGAGACCATAGGGGTCGTAGCCGTTCGTCTTAGGCATTACCTCTCTTCCCTCAGTACCTAAATCACACCAGTAGCATACATGTTACCACATGCAGGTGAAACACTTGGTCATTCTGCAGCTAAGGACTCATACCGCACCATGCACTGTGGATGCGTAGGCTGGGGACAAATTCATTTTCAGTCTGTGCATCTTTTCCACTGCTTATTCTCATCTTACCCTACTCAACAGGGGCATATGGACGGCAAGGAAATATAACAATCAAGTTTTGTACCGGTCACAAAGAATGGGAAGGTGGCACCAGGTATCATGACCTGGTGGTGTTCATCAACGAAGCATTCACTAGGACACATCAGATAGAGTGCATTTTACAAGTTAATGGGATGCATCGTTGACATGTTTGATTCATAGCTGTGCCGCAGTGGAAAGTCTATGGACAGGCGACACTGCCGACTATGCCTCTGTTGAACTCATCATTGTGCCTCAGCTGTAGGTTCAACGATAGTTATAGCTCCCCCTCACTGAATCAAACGGTATTAGTCAAGCTCCAAGTAGACTACAAGCTGTGCAAATTATAGAGAGCAGGTATGAAGTCTGTCTACTCTGATTGATGGGTATAAATCTCTGCAGACCCTTGGAAGTGGATGAACTCAGTAATCGACCAAACTCAAAATTGAAGCTCTCCTTTTCGGACCTCAAGAGGCTTGTGCCTTCCCAATGGTTTAATGATTGCATCATGAACACTGCGCTACAGTATGTGAAGTGACATAATGGGGCATGACTTTTTTATCGACTGTTCTCGTTCTTTAACAGCTCTATATCTGTTGAAGCTATAGCTTCTCGGAGCGATCTTAGAGATAAGATATGCTTCCAAAACAGTCACATGTATCATGTACTCCAGTATGTCAGCATTCCTAAAGTGTGGATGCTGTTCTGAGAATGATTATGTTCCAGTACGACTGCTGAATCAAGGTCTTTCTGGAAAGGCTGGACCAGAAATGTGTTCAATGATCAATGAATTGTGTTTCCCATCAATCTTGAGTAAGATTTTCTTTTGTGTGTTCTTTGTCTCATCATTGGCTCAGGAACATTCATTGGTATTGCACGATTGTCATTAATCCACTTATGGCCATACCAGAAAGCTGCAAGAAAGGAACGGCATCCAGTGACTTGCTTGTGTTTAGCTCTTGGGTGGGGTGAGTGGTATTCTGACACATTGTGACTGTTTCTTATAGAGGTTTAGCAAATCACTTATCGTCATTCTGGACTCCAAAAGACAAGTAGGCCTACCTTCTTATCTTGCTGTTAGGTAGGCCTTGAACTGCTTCCTGCAACACAAAGCTTTTTGGAACTATGGCATCGAAGAGACCCTGACTTTACTGCCAAGTCTGGAGGTACTGGTAAGTAGGTGTCATATTGGTATCTGCAGATGTGTGCTATATAATAGTCTAAGGTCCCGAAACAAGGGAATGACGGCGACTGCGGCCTTTACATGCTGTGGTTTATAAAATGTTTCTCGGAGAAACCGAAGATGTATACAAATCTCATCATGGTATGTTACACGCTACACCAAAAGATTTATAGCTCACAAATTCGTCATAGCAATACGAATGGAATGAGTATCTCACAGCCACCCTCAGACAGCATTGGCTTCCATCTGGTGCAGCCAGCTACAGGGAAAGCTTGCATGCATACTATGTGGGTTTATGTCAGAAGCTCGTGGAGGATTCTGATTCACAGCATACCTCGTAATATACGCTGCCAATCACATGGTGGATCAGGGCGGAAGCACTTTGCTTATGTAGATCATTGCAGTATTGCTGAAATCGGCCTGGTAAATTGCATGCCCACCTTGGGAGCTATTCTACATGTGGATATTCAGCTCTTGTAATGTACAGTTCATTTGCAGCATGCTTCTAGGTGAACAACGGTAACATTATTCACAGTTGCCACTCTGACTGCAGTATTCGGACGTGGTTGAATGTCCTTGGCCCATGCAACTTGCTCTTTGGCTTGCAGACATAACATGAATGCCTCTGGCACTCGCAGTCTTGGCTTATGAGCAAAACTACTACTCACATGCACTTGCTATATCACGTACTTATGACCTCAATGTATTATAGACTATTAAATATATGGTCAATACATAAAGTGGACATGTGCTGAGTACATATGGTGGGACATTAAATGGCATAAATGTGCTACATATGACCAGCCAAAACATATGGCTTAAATGACATTTGATAGCCACATGGCGTTAATGTATTGTGAACATATGGCGTAATTGGGCTGCCAATACCTGGCTTAAATTTCTTATAGAAATATGGCATGAATGGGTCATTGAAGGTGACCTGACGGTAGAATTGTTATTTTTGTGAGGAAGTAGGAGGCAATGCAATGCAAAAAATATGGCGGAACTGCACCATGTATTATGTGCATGTGACCGAAGCGGGTCATGGGTATATGATGAAAATACATTGACGGCATGTGGTGCAAATTAATCATGAGAGAAAACTTTCACCACCTGCCACTGTTATCATCTCTTGTCGCCAACAGCAACACTTGTAGTTTACTCTTGTGCACAATATGGCTGTTGAATTATCTTCTGTTCACCACTTCGTAGTGATTTTATGAAAAGCTAACCTACGGATCATGTTGCTTCCTGGCGAGTGTCTGAACGGCTTTGCTAATGACAACATTGCTGCCTCGACATGCAGACGCCATTTAGGTCATGCAGTGTGCCAAACTTCTTTTATACTTGCAGAATGACGTTTGGAGTGCGCCCACGGCAATAATGCTCATTTGTAGTATCCTGTTTTGAAACAAATGTGAATGCTGTCAGGGATGTGTTTGGGACGTGCCGACAAATATACTACTCGTATGCTGGAATGATAACCACACTCATGCCTGCATAAACGAAAAAGAAGACTGTCCCTTTCTCTTTAGAAGATGTGGCAGTTCGTCACAATTGCTGACACCCCAGTCGTACAGCAGAACGCAAACACTTGGGCTCTAGATCAATGGAAGCCTTCCTTTTGTGCAGCAGCTGCTTCCTTTTCTTCCTATGTGATCTTGCATTCTATCCACTCTGTTGTGCTGTAGGTATTACAGCTCACGCTTCTTTGCCTTGCTGGAGGGACTCATGGTACTACATGCAACCAAGTAATCTGTGGACAACACAAACAAATTAAGCTATTTCCATCTGCATCCATGTTGCAACTTGTCTGGATGCTAATATAGCCGCCTGCCCCACAAATATACTTCCATAGCATCCCGGAATGAGCTGATGGTCGTGTGGGTCTGCTCAGTCATCCACTAAGATTATGAGAGATTTTTCAATTGAGCAGTCAAAGAGCTCCTTGACAGTATTTAATATGGACGCTGCTATGACATTCTGAATTTACGACATCACGCAGCCATCACTACACAAGACCGCCACCACTGTCTATCCTATTGTACCATTCTCGCTGCAGGGCCATGTCGTCCATAATCCGACAATGGGAATAGTTTCTAGTGAAATGCGGGAGTCCGGCCTTCCAACCCTCCAGGATACTTGGGGTTTCGTGGTTGATAGTTGGCAGAGCTCTCGTAAGAGTGGGCTGACATGCCAAGTGGTGATAACTATGCCAGATGTCGCCTCCATCACTGTAGGCCAATAGAGCTTCCACAGTGTGGACACCACATTGAAGAAGATCCATGGAAGTCCAGGACTCGTGGCAGATCCGACACTTGAATAGTTGGGCAAATTCAGACTCTGTAACCAGACCGTCCAGCTAGCAGTACAGTATTAGCTTTACATCCTGTTGTAGCGGGAAATACCTACCTTGTCTCTTTCATGTACCCGCATGGACCACAGGGTATACGCAGCCATAAAGGTATTTGGCACGCAATAGTTGCTGAGTAAGTCTCTTGTCGTAACAAACCTAGTTGGTATTGATCATACAGACTGCCGGGTGAAACTCACCTGGCTTGAATGATCAGTCCCAATACGGGCCTAAGACTCTTGTCGAAGGAGAGCATTGATGCTGCAGCATTGCGGGTGGCAAGGAGGTCGTTGAAGGGCCGGCATTGAACAGGAGACATAGTGCAGCAAGCGCAAGTTCTACCACATGCATAGCATGCAGCGCAAAGCATCACTCCGGCTGTTTCTCCTGACGTGTTGATTGCCTCGTTGTCTGATGCAAGTGCTGTTGTAATTGAACACCGGTCACACTTGAGACAAGATTGGAAAATATTGGCCCCGCAGAAATTGCATGACACCGGATCAATGCTTGTATGGAGGAACATATGATGTGCTGGGTCGTATTCCTCGATGAGGATGTGGTCAAACAGATCAATGAGAGCTTTCAGCTGTGCGCCATTTCCATCAACCAGAGGGAAGACAAACAAGCCAATACTCCTGTATACAGTGGCTCTGATATGGTAGCGCTCCGGCCGGCAAACGCTGTGAGTTGTTGAGCCGTCTTATTCAAACCACGGCTGCACTGTCCAAATATACTCACCGCTAATACACTGGCAACTCATCATGGAAGGCTAGATACAATGACTTGAGGGACATGCGGGACCATGCAACCTTGATAGTCAGTCCACCTTTGTTCGCGACCTGATGACAGCTTTTTGGAGGTATGAGTACAAGGTCACCCATTTTTTGCACTGTTTCGTATATTGGGAACGATGCGCTAGCCATCTGCTCATGGGTCAGCCGACGCGACTCCCAGTCAACTTTGGCCCCTATATGTTGTCGAAAGAACAAGCTGGCATGGTGAGAGTCCCGTGTGGACGTCATGTACCATCGAGCTTTGCCCCCCTTTTCCGCAAAACACATCAGGTTGTGCCCAACAGACATACATGCATC